GACAATGTTCAAACCATAGAAAAGATGTTTGCTAAGACTGAAACTATTTAAAGTGCAAAGAAAACCGGATGACCACAAATGTTAGACACGAGGGATGAAAGAAAGACTGTGCGAGTCTCGGTAGGCGATCCCAAATTAACAGCCAGACAAGTGAGGAGTAAATGTAGTCTTAACAGTGAAGGTTTCAGTTGATACAGTACGTAGTTATGAAAAGAACAACTTGAACAGGCGTATGGCAGCAAAAAATCACCAATAACAAAAAATATCGAGACAGGAGAATAAAGTGATCAAAAGCACATTTAATATTAGTATTTTAATAAATTTCAGTTTTCAACCCCCAAAGTTCAATAGACTACGCAATGTTTACAGACTCTCTTTTAAACTTTAGGCATTCATCAACAACTTCGATAATTTCCTCGATTCTCTTGGGAGACCTCCGATAAATTTCATTTAAGAGTTATTAACATGTGAAGATTATAATGCTCACAAGTAATTTTACTTATTGTTTGTAATTATATGAGATAGTAATGTTTGTTATAAAACTAACCCATGATTGTAAAATCGAGAGAAGATAAATTTCTATAATTGTTCAAATCAAAGTTAGGAAGATGTAAAAAATGGAAAAAAGATTAGCATAATCCAAATTATTTCTATGAATTACCATGCCTTTTTTGAAAGATAGTGGAGTGGTTTCCTTGCTTCTTTCTTCACGTCCTTTAAGACTGATTTAAAGAATAAACATTCTGCAGCATCTAAACCAAATTTATTCATTCACATTTGTTGTAAGATTTTAGAAGAAATAAGTGGTCGTGATTCCTGCTTAACACACACACACACACACACACACACACACACAGACACACAGACATATATATATATATATATATATATAAAACTAGTGAGCCAGACAAACCTACCAAGGTTTCACCTAAACGGATCGTCAGGGAAAACTGGCTGACGATCCGTTTGGGTGAAACCTAGGTAGGTTTGTCTGGCTCACTAGGTGTATCTAGGTCTGCCCTACGGTTGTATTGGGCTCTTTTGTTAGTTAGTTGTTTACTCGTATCGGAGTTTTTTCTTTGGATTTTAAACCTGTATCTGTGCGATATTTTTCGACAGACTTTCATGTTTGTAGCTCTTTCTTTTTTTAAAACCTTTTTTCCCTCGAGACTGATTTGATTATTGACAAATCAAAAATTCGAGGGTTTTTCGAAACGAGTATAGTTATCTATATTTGTATCAATTTCTAATCACATTTTTCCTCTCATTTCATTGTTGGAAGTGTTACCTGATGATCCAAAATCCTTTAAAAAGGATTTTGGTGAAATAAATTATTGTAATGGTATCTTAAAGTGTCTGTTGTTCAATTAAATATATATATATATATATATATATATATATATATATATATATATATAATTATTTCAACCAAAGACGCAAGGGGTTACTGAGAGTGGAAGGAAATATGAAAACGTTAGTGAGGAGAAATGACTTTCGGAAGACTGAAGATGGCGATTGATGTTGCATTGAAATTTATTAAGTCTAAGATTTAAATACAATGTCAACCGTTAAGTGTTTCCTTAATTCATGATCTTTTATTGTTCTGTCTCCTGAATAAAATTTTTCTTTTTCTCAATATTCTCTCAAACTCAGTAACTCTTTGCATTTTAATATCATTATTGCTTTGCTTGGGGTGAAATGCTGAAGAAAAATATCAGTGGAAAACGTAAGACCAATAAGGTGCAGTGAGTTGCTCTCCTAGATGTTAGCATCGGCCATGCCGATGGAAGGCAAAAATGGTTCTCTAAGATGATTAAAAGTCAGCAGTTTCATTTTGGAGCCACGACATTTCTTATTGGACAATCATACGTTGAAATCAATGCTGAGTCTACTATATATATATATATATATATATATATATATATATATATATATATATATATATATATATATATATATGTATGTATGTATTTGTAGGAAAATGTTGATCTGAGGAATTAGTATATAATTTCAATTTTAAGGAAATAAATTATAATCACCATTAAACCATAAAGTTGTCTGTTCCTTAATATAATTAATATCTGTACTGTTTTCACTAAATTCTTACACTTTTCTAATAATGTGGCACGTTCAAATCACCGTGCTGATAACAAATATGGCGCCAGTTTGTTTACATTGCGCAGATCAGTAGGAAAATTTCAGTGATTGCGCAGGTCAGTATTGCCAACATTGTGTGAAAATTTTGTGTGAATTGGTTGGACAGTTTTTGAAATATTAGAAAAAAAAAGTTATCACAATAATAATTTGGCACGTATATATATATATATATATATATATATATATATATATATATATATATATATATATGTGCAATGGAAGTCGACTGGAACGGCCACTCGTTTAGATCCTTTTACATTAATGCTGAGGTCCCCCAGAGCTACATCTTTGGATCTACACCGTTTCTTATCAGCGACTCTTTCCCCGATGTCATCAGTTCCCTACTCGGCATTTATGTTGATGGCACAACTATTTACTCCTCTCTTGCTCGTAAGTCAGATAGGTCCGATAAAGTAAAAGTGGCAGCTGATTTCGAAAATGACCTGTAATCAGTTGTTAACTGGGGTAAGTAATGGCTTATAAATTTGAACATCTAAAATAAACTTCTCATAATCATCTAAGATAACTATTTTTTTTGTCTTCCATCAGTATGACGGATGTTAACCTCCAAGAGAGCAACCCATTGCGCCTTCCTGGTCTCACGTCGTTTACCAGATATGAAGGGGGAATGACTATATGTATATGAGTCTGTTAGCTTTAATATATCTTCTTTCCTAAGCTATTGTGTTGAAGTTCGGATATCTATATATTCAAAGGTGATTCTGCAATGTATTTCTAATCTGATTAAGTACTGTTTGTCACGAAGAAATGAGCAAATATGTTTAACATTCTGAAGCTGCGAAATATTTGTAATTTACCTGCACAGCAAATGTAATAGGTAATCTTGAACAGTAACATGATTATTTTCTACTGCTGTTTACACAATACAAGGTCCAACAGCCACTCAAGGTAGAATGCTACTGAATAAGTTTGTTGAATGTAGATAACTGTTGACCCAAATCATGAATAGGTTAAGAGTCTAGAGATTTGGAAAGCATCCTTTAGGGAATATGTTTCCCAAATGGAAAAAGTTGAGTGGAACTTCTTTGTTAATAATAATGTACTGTAGATGTGGCATTTAGTGTCCTAGCTGTAAAGGTCTGAACTGGTGGGACTAAGGAGTGTAGCTAGTCAGAACATTTTCCCATGGAAACAGTGTTAAGAGTCATGTTCTTAAATACCCTCGTCAGACCGATATTTTCATATGGAGGTCATGCATGTCACTAAACTCGTTCAGAAATATCTAAACTCTCAGCTGTATACAACTGTTCCTAAGATTAATGGTTAAAAAAGACTTTGAGCGAGTAATGCCTGTGAGTCTTGACAGAGATCATCCTTCTTTGAACACGGTGAACTGGCGCTACAGAATCGCAAACCAAGAACTGTACTAATGTTGTAGCATACCTACGGACGATAATGGGTATGCCCCCATTCACATAAATACAGTAGTAAATACTGTATGTTGATTTGTAGTTGGAGATTCGTCTCCAGCTGTACTGGTCAAACTCTGTCTCCGGGCAGAAAGGCTATGTTGAATGGCAGAGTCTTGTCTCGGGAAACAGCTACCCGGCCCCGTTTTATACGGGAAATTTTTGGCTAGGATACACAATATTAAATTCAGACTGTGTCACACCTGACAGCGTGGGCGGTTGGTAGATATCTTTCAGTTGGAGATTCACTGTGGTATTCCATTGACTCACTTCTAGCAGTTGACTACTTCTACGCGTCGCTGGCGAATCTTATATGTGTTGTTCTTGTCCTAAGTATTATCGTTCATTACCAACCTTCGTATGATTATTCTATTCAGTAACCTTCCCTAGGTTACAACAACTAAATAAAAGAAACCACATCACTTGAGGACTATCAACAGCAGCAACAACTAAAATGGATAGCATATGTAACTCAAAGAGAAAATATTGTCATAATCATGATGCTGACATTCCATACCACTTCAAACAAAAGGTTAGGAAGGAAACCCTCATCAGTACTGGAAAGAGCGATAACAGCTACTGGACTTGAGGAAACTATTTTCATAAAAAGAAAGATTTTATAAATTTCAACTGGAAACAGTACTGGCTGCTCGGTCAATGTAGAGAAACAGCTAATATTTCTACTACCATTACGATATTTTGTCTCTGGGGAAAGAGGTTGTAGGGTTGAAAATAATTCATCGCCCACAAGGGGGCGTAGTCGCTTTTGAACTCTGTCAAGGCTGGAAAGTAAAGATTGTGCTAGAAGATCAAAGATTTTCAAATAACTCTTAAAGGATTTTAAAAACGTTTTATATGTCGTTTTGAATTACAGCGGACATTTGTTAGAAGGTGTAGCAAACCGCAACTCTATACAAAATCACCTGATGATGATAGATTATACAGTCAGAAAATAAAGGTTTAAACAAACTTGTACAATGATTCGTTCTGTTATTAAAATAAAATCAAATGGAAAATAATTAAAACATTAAAAAATAGATTTAAATAAAATACGATCAGAATATAACTGACCTAAGATATCATTAACGATATATCATTTTTTTCGAAAGGTTCTTGAAATTGTTTATGTTGATATAATTGTCTTTGGTGCTGATGCAGGGAAAATGATTGCTGCTGGGAGAATTGGGGGACTGGACGTTGCAGGGATTGTTTAGTTGCTTGTGTATGGAGGGGTACGGATACACCAAAAGGTAGAATTGGAGTCGATATGGAAGAATTGGCATTGGCTCTGTTCTCCTGGCTGTTCTCAGAATCACTACCATTACCATTCTCTGTAGCTTTTTTGTTGACTCTCTTTTTTTCAGTATTAATACTACTCCCTTCTTTATTATTATTATTATTACTATTATTTACACTATTGCAATTGTCTTCTGTACAGTCAGCGTCACTTGTGGGAGGACAGTTATGCGTCTTAAGGTGCTTGCTTAGATGGTCACTCCGCATGAATCTCTTATTACAGACCGAACAGACGAAGCGCTTCTCTCCCGTGTGTGTGCGAAGATGGCGTTGGAGTTCATCGGACCGTGTGAAACGTTTCCCGCAAAAAAGCCAATTGCATACGAACGGTCGCTCCCCCGTGTGCCATCGTAGGTGAGCTTTCAGGTGTGATGTTTTGTTGTATACCTTGCCACATCCAGGCACGTGGCAACTGTGAATGTTTTTCTTTCGCAGCTGGGCAACGGCGGGGCCTAGTTTCTCGGCTTCCATGCAGTTCGGGCATTCACAAGTCGAGCGACCCACATAACGTCTCTGCGAAGACGATGTAGCTGCCACCGTTCGCGTTCCGTAAACGTTTCTCTTTATCTCCACTGCAGATGATGACGCCATAGAGCTAATCGAAGGTGGCCGATTGAAGAATGAGTTGATCATCATTGGCGGATTGATTGAATGAGACAAATGATTTAAGCGTGTGAGCTCATTTGGGGTTCGTGCCTGTAACATGGATTTATGCGCGTGTTCCTGGATATGAAAGCGAGGTTGTCTCATCGCTGAGGCCGTTGGAAATTGATTGCTGTTTGGTGCTAAAGAATGACGGTGAGCAAGTGAGAATTCTGTTATTCCAATGCCTGCTCCTGAGCTCCCTCCCCCACTATAGTCGAAGCCATTACCCACAGATCCGCTATTTTGCTCAATTTTACTAATTCCAGTCTGATTATTAACGCTACAGTAACCGTTAGGCAATAAAGTCGGGATCTGCATAACACCTGATGCTGAGGAAACACTGGGTAGTTCCGATAACCAATTATTGGCTGCTGTGTGCATATCTATCGCCGAGGGAGAGCCGACCATGGATTGTGTCTTGTTACTGGGCATTTCGCTTTTGAAATGCGTAAGTGGGGCTTGAGGATGGAGCTGAGGCGGGCTTCCGCTCAGACTCATCGCTGATCTCGTGTTTAAGTGCCATGACTTGCCCGTTGTTGTGAGCGAAATGGAGCTTGAAGAAGAGGGAGGGGAAGGAGAAGAAGAGGACGAAACAAGGTGGTACGAATCGACATTCGGTGTAGCCGTAGCTGGACGTAATGACGGATGTTGAAAGTAGTGAGAATTATGTGACGAAAACATGCCGGCTGCTAAATTGTTTTCACTACAAAGGGGCGGCAATTCTTTGATGTCGCTCATTGCTCCTGATTCCATTAGGGCGCCATCGTTGCCTAGCTTTCGTAATGATGCACACTGATTGGTTTCATTATTGGTATCGACACGGACAGTATTTCTTGCATCTGCTTCATGACCTCGAGTCATATCGCTGATGTTGCTACTACTGTTGCTATTACTGTTTGTATTATGACTCACCGTGTCCATATAACAAGTTTCTCTATTCCCCCGGTTTCTTGTAGTGTCTGTTGGATGTAGCAGATTTGTTGATGCCTTGCTCTGGCAAAAGATGTTGACATCAGCATTTTCAAAGCTTTTTGCACACGAATTAGACACTATATATGTCCCAGTTGTTTCCGCACTAGTTGACGGAATACAAGCAGGTAGGGCTCCACAGTCTGATGCCGTTAAGGAACTTCCGTAAGTTGGATGGGAATTTAGATAAGGAAAAGGGTTGGAGGAGTAAGAATTGGGGTGTTGGCTTGAAGGGTGCTGGGTGTTTAGGACCGGTGTAATGTGAAACGAGGAAGTAAAACCCGGATGATAGAGAGTTTCCGTTTTACTGGCAGGCCTTTCATTTCCTGAAGAACTTCGGATTCCCATGGTGCTATTTCCATCTACCATTCCGTTAGTGCCAAAACCGATGTGGCTTCCGCTTAAGCCAAACCCAAATCTTGCTTTCGTCCACGAATGGAAATTCTTGTCGAGTGTCGGATCTGCTAATGATGCAGGCGGTCTGCAAGTGATCTGGTTGCACTGGGCTGCAAGCATAGCAAGAGGACTTGGTGCTAGTAAACATTGATCCTGGAAAGAGAAAGTGTAAACAAATGGTAAGATTAAGGAAATGTACCGACATTTTCTGGAATATCTTCTAAAAATCATCATAGCATATTATCAAAGGTGAAAACTGGCGCATTACATGTAATACATTCAGTAACATGATTCGGCGATCATTGAATGTCATTGTAGAGCATGCAAGAGGACGCGTGATGAAGGCAAAGCATGTAATCTAATCACGTGACTTAAATATACGTAATTATTATGCGGTTTTGATCATAAAAGCGCATATGAAGCCACCAACAAGCCAAAGTTGTTGATCATACGTAAGCTGCCTTTTAGAGTGGATGTTAACCCGTTCTCGACTTTCTATGCGGTCGGAAGCGGATTTTTATTTTTATTTTGACTGAGGAAGAAACGTCATCTTTTTATTCGATTTCTAATTCTCCATTCGACATCTAAATGAAATGAGAAATCTTGGCCATAACTATAAAAACTGAAGTTGTATTCTGACATTGAAGATTGATTTCTGTTCCATGAACTTTTTAATTATATTTCAGCTTTTGGAGATCACTAACAACAAAAATAGAAATACACAGAATATATATATATATATATATATATATATATATATATATATATATATATTATAAGGGATTATAATAAAACATTTTTAAATCGCTACACAAAAGCTTTCATGTTTCAATACCATGATTATACATCCTCAGGCGATGATAGGTAACTGGTTATAAAGTGATTTTTAGGGAAATTTAAAAACAATTCGTTACCTCTTTTCCTGAAATTAAAGTGGGGTGCATAAGGTCAGAAATTAAAAATAGACTTGTGGGCATGTCACGATTAACTAATTAAATGTCAGACCTTTTTTTTAAAAAAAGTAAATGCTACGAACTGTGGATTTTACTCCATTTGCTCTTTCTCTCATTTGTATATATATATATATATATATATATATATATATATATATATATATATGTATGTCAGATTTTATTATCTAGATCAATGTTTTCATAATAAAGTTGGCATTAACCAGTCAATATTGGTAAAATTTTTAGGATATATTTATAAGATTGAATTTAATCTTATAATATTAAACAAGAAAATCATAAAATTTCACCAAATATAAGGCACAATAGCTACTGAAGTTAGAGTATTACTGAATGAGGTATATGATATGAATGTAAGAGGAGGAAGTAGGAAGTTAAAATAATGAGGATAGATAACGCTTGGTTTTGGACTTGAAGATGTTAAGATTGTAGTGCTTTGGGAAACATCCACACTGAAGTCTCTTCCAAAAATGATCCTGTTCTTCGGGAGAATCTTTCGGAATAACTCGTTTGGTGGGGTTTAAGTTTTATTATGTCATATACAGTCTATATTTATATTAATGAATATAAATACAAAAGATATAGCTCAAAGAAATACATGTGATCAAAGAAGTCAAAGAACGTAATCTAATCACGTGGCTTAAGTATCAGTCATCAGGGTCATACATGATACACGTTTAGGCGATCATGTCTCTTTCGATTCATGACTGACTAGACAGAATATAGGTTGCCGTTTTCTCTGATTTTATGTATGTCCCAATTCTGTCCCCATTTCTATTAAAAATTCTTCTTCAGCATTCTTCTTTGGAATCACGTCTCTCTTGTTTTAAGTCTCCTCTTCAAATACCCAAAAAATGTTCAGCATTCACTTCGAAACTGAAGGATTGATATTACATAACATTTCAGTACTTTTTGTTTGTTTCTAACGAAAATTTATTGTTTTTTAATACCTTATTTAACTTTTAGAAGGCATCACCCGGTTCACTCTCCTCCACTGCCTCTTGAAAAAAGGAATAGAGGTTTACTCCGTGTTTCCTGTTTAGGATTAGGTGTTCAGGTTCCTTCTAAAGTCTACTTCGACTCTATACTTCTAACAGCTCTGCCTAAACCTTTATTTACTATTTATTTATTTATTTTCAATAGGAGTAGACAGATTTGCCTATTGTCCGGTTCACACTCCTCCTTCACTTCCAATGACACTTTTGCGCCTTAGTGGCATTATCGCCTTCCTTGGGATGAATTGATTAAAAAATATTTCTTTATCCTAATGTGTTTTGGGATTTCCGTGCCATATTTTCTGTCGTCTGTTGTAACACTTCCAAGTTATATTTCTTCACTTATTCGATTCTGAATTTTCTAATTCATATCTCGTATCTTGAACCTTTACCTTTTGTTAACGACAACATTTTGTCTTCTTACAATTGATGGTTATTCTTTTCTTCTATCTCGTCTAGAAGTTCCTGGAGTTTCTTACTGCGTCCGCCATCAACAGTGTCATTTGCGTAACACATAGAACCCAATAAATGTTCTAATGAACTGGCTAACTTCTAATTGTTTTTCCGTTCAAATCATATATCAATTACACATGATAAACTTTACGATCATAAGACGGAAAGAGGTGAAGTTAAAGAAAGCAGGACAAGCCCACACAAATTAAAACGAGGATTTGAATAATTATAGTGACAGTACTGGTGGCAGGGCTATGTTATTTTAAAGCGTTTGGAGTTGGAATACAAGTTTGTTAATCACCAATAAATGTTTCTATTTTATTTTACGATGTTATTAATATGAATAAGACATGGTTACTATTTCCGTAAACAAACGATTGAGTTATAACTGCTACTTAAATTTTATTTTGCCTCCATAAATCTTTAAGACTGTCAGCTATGTAATAGACACGGTTTATTTTTAAAGGATGGCAACATAACATCGAATTTTCAATCATTTCAATCCCAGCAAGCAATAAAACCACTAAGACGCAAGGGGTGAAATAATATAAGAAAAAGTAAAACATTATTGCAGAGAAACAACAATAAAAGAACAGAAAATAAGAATACAGAAGATAAAGATTGTTATTGCATTTATTTTGAATACTAAAGTTGACTGGAAAGCAAGAAACCAGAAGAGAGTTCCACAAATGAGAATTGCGACAGAAGAAACTGTTAGCATAGGACTTACGGTTTCATATAGCCATTTAAAGTGTAAAATGAAAAGATCTTGCTGTCAATCTAATACTGCCCTTAAATTCATAAAGTCTAGGTACCATAGAGGAAAGTTCATCAGGACAATTACCATGAAAATATTTATAGAAAACACATAGGGAAGTTACATTTGTGGAAAGTGACTGAAGGCGAGATGCTAGGTTACGACCAATGACATTGCAGATTCTACTTTGGATTTTATCAAAGATGTCTAGATATATAACAGTAACCCCAGACCATATTTTTTTTAGCAATTCACCCCAAGCAAGGCGGGGGTGCCACTAGTACGCAAGAGGTTACAGAGGGTTGAGAACAAAAGTAAAGAGGCGTGTTTGAGGAAAGGATACAGAGAAGGACGGCGAACAAGATCAAGGTATCAGAAGATGTCGATTGACATTACACTTGAATATCTGAAGATTATAGTTATCAGGGAAGCAAGCAAGAGGAAGGGAGTTCCACAGGCGGGAAGTGCGAGAGAATAAGCTGTTTGAGTAGAAGAGACGGTTACATTTAACCGTTTCGACAGTGAAAGGGTGGGACCGAGATGCCAGCCAAGTAAACCGCTTAAATTCGTGCAGTCTCGGGACCAGCGAAAGTTGCTCGTCGCAACAGTTGCCGTGAAAATATTTGTAGAAGAGACAGAGGGAAGCCACGGCACGTCTGTGAGAAATGTGGCAATAATATTCAAAGTAAGGACGAATTGTAGACTTTTTAAATATGTAAGATAGATTCGGGAGAGTAAATTTTTCTAGCACGGTGCCGTGAACCAACTTTCAGGTAGAATAGAAAATACATGTATAATTTTCATGCGTGTGTATGTTCACATTAGATGATTGCTGCACATCACAGACACTTTATAATCTATTGAAACCAATTTCAAACGACTCTGTTATCTTTCTCGCGGCGTTTGGTTCGCTGCAACCCCACCGGCCTTACTCGGGTTCCTCTCGCATTGGATGCTCTTCCTGGAATATGAACCGAAACCTTTTATTACATCGACTCAGATATGCTTTCACATCCGGCTTTTTGCTCATCTCGGAAGGAAGATGAGAGAAATAATTATCACGGGAAAGATGAATCAAACATGCTTGCGGTCGGCTCGAAGGTGCTTGTTGATGTCTTCATCTAAATTTGAAGAATTTAAAAGTTGGACCGAGATTTCATTATAAAAATAAAATAATTAAAAAAAATACAGTTTTTTCACTTGATTAGATGGGCAGTAATAATCATAATTTTAGAACATTTTTTGTTAATCATTTCACCCCAAGTTGCTTAGGGTTTATGAGTGTTAGAAAATATGAGAAAAATATATTATTAAGGAGAGAGGGCACTAAAAGAACAAGAATTAAGAGGACAGACGATAAGGATTGACATTGCATTTAATTCGTAAACTAAAGTTAGAAAGTAATGCATTGAATATTGCTATCGCGTCTTGTCGTGTGTTTCTTCTATATATAAATTTTTGATAAGATATAAAGAAGAATCTGCAATATTACTGGTCCTAACCTGGCATCTCAGCTTCAGTCACTTTGCCGCCGCCGTGACGTAGCTTCCCTGTGCCTATTATCTGCAATATTACTGGTCCTTACCTGGCATCTCAGCTTCAGACACTTTGCCGCCGCCGTGATATAACTTCCCTGTGCCTATTATTTGCAATATTATTGGTCCATACCTGGCATCTCAGCTTCAGTCACTTTGCCACCCCCGTGACGTAGTTTCCCTGTGCCTATTCTATTATTGTGCTTAAATATTTTCATGATAATTATTTTGATGAGCTTACTTATTTGTTACGCGGACTTTATGAATTTAAGCGCGGTACTAGATTGGCTGCAAGGTCTCACCGTTTTACAGTTGAAATGGCTAGATACTGTTACATTAAGAAGGAAATGAACACAAGATAGGTTGCGCTAAGGGTACTTTTATCCGACAATGTAATCTGTTACAAACC